TGGAGATCTCTTTATAAAAGCTGGTAAAATGTATTTTTCGATATCTTCAAAGTCTAAATCATCTTTAATAAAATGGAATTTAATAATTTTGCATTGACTTTTATATACCATGAAAATATTAAATTTAAACTCCAAACCGGTACATACTACATTTCCAAAATTAATTAATTTACTATTATTTTTTATATATTATATAAAATATGTTACGGCCAATGGGGGGCATGGCCCCTGTGCCCCCCCTGGCTACGCCACTGGATGGTGGATTTAATGTTAAAAAGGATCTATTATACTTAACCCGTTGTAAATTAGTGTCACCTAAGCACATCTAGCTTCGCTAGTTTAATCTATCTTAATTAATTACCTATTGCCATTTGCTAAAATAGGTATATTCCCATCTATACTATACATATGTATTGTACATATATTAATTATCACCTTATAAGGCTATAAACTGTCTACAATATAATTATAGATTATAAATTACTTAATGTTAAACGTTTCCATATATCCTCGCTGTATAATGTAGAAGATAGTATTTTAATAACTAAGTAAAATAACATTTAAATGTTAAAGAAAAAATATCAATAAATGTCATTAATCATTTTATAAAAATCTAACTATAAAATACAATATATCTATATTATACGTGTTCATAAATGATAATTGATTATACTTTTGCGTAACTCACACTTATAGAGTATTCGAAAGTAAAAATAACATGACGCATAAAATATTATAAACCTTATACGTGTTAAAAATTAATGTTAAGTTCAATAACTCAAGCGTATATTATTATGTATAAATTATAATAAATGCAATGTGTGTCAGTACTTAAATATGTAAAATATTCGCTGCTTAAAAATTTAAATGCCCGTGAATAGTAGATACTTAAATAACTATAATGAATGAAATTACTTTTATCTTTTTAAATACACATATTGCAATATAAAATAACATTCTTATTTTTTGACTACCTAGGATGAAAATAAATACTTTTTGAAAATAATTTAATTTAATTTAAATTAATATTTTTATATTGTTACTTTAATATTTGGATTATATTAATATTTAGTTAATTAATATCATTGGTCATTACCATGCTTAATAAATTAACAATGTAATTTTGAAAGCCAAATTTCTCCTAAATCATAATCTAATACCTATAATATATCTTATAATAAGCAACATTTATGAATATTGTATAATATACATGAATTTAGAAAAAAAAACTATATTTTAGTTAAATATGGCTATTTACGTACTCAATACTTACACAATCTATACAATACATATTTATTTATCGGATGAAATTAATAGTATGTATTTTTTTTAGAAAATACCAGTCCTGTCAAAAATTACATCTATCAGACACCTGAGCAAATATCAACGATACAGTTTGAAAATGAGATCTCACCCGTTGCTACGAACGGCAATTTAAACAGACCTTGCGCTTGGCAAAATAGTAAGTGCATTAGGTATAGATATACTTACTTACCTACTTCACATATTATATTATATCTTGGGTAATACGTATGTATGTACTATACCTTTTCTTGTCTTCACATGTATTATGATACAGATTATCGTAATAAAAAATAAAAACAATGAAAACAATTATAAACACTGAGCATGTGTCATTTTCTGTCCACTTATACTTCACATGCGTTTTGTGTTGGTGTTTAATTGTCTAATAGAACACTAAAAACATGCACAGATATATTATCAACAATTATATTTACCAGATAAATTCAACAGATCATTAAACATAATGATAATAGAATAATTTACTGTAAAAACAGTAAGAGTATAGTAAAACACTAAAAATAAAATAAAACAAAATTCAAAAGTCGAGTCTCGAAGGTTAATATAAACATTTATATTTTAATCACGGGTGATTTTTAAAACATTCTAGAAAAATATACTCTTACAAGTTGTATATAAACATTAAATTTAATGAACCATATGGTAAATAATATTATGTCGATGATATAAGGTTTCTGTGTGCCTCTTGACTCTTGTTAATTAAATATACTTACTTAATGTGCATGTACATAGGTAATATTCTAAAAACATGTACAATGTTCATGCCTAAATAAGTCGGTCAACATTTGTAAATGTATATATGAAGAATGAATATTGATAATTTAATTTTAAGAGGTAGCCAATGGTCATCATAGGTAATGGCAATACAATGCATTGCTTTATCTAATTAATGTTTTAGAAATTAGAATAAATTAGAATAAAATATTACGTTTTTACGTAGAATTATTGCCTAATTCACCAAGTACCTAAAAATTAAAAGATAATAATTATTATAGTTGCATGTGAGATGTGCGTACTTTTATTCAATTCAAATTTCAGTTGTTATATTTCTCGAAGGAATTGAACATGTAGTATAATCATAAGATATATAATGTCATATAATAGTCTTATTTCACTGTACATAGTCGTTAAAATGTACGCTGCTTACCTACATACAGAACTCAATTTATTGTTATTATAATATCCACAGTGTTTTGTGGTAGGTATATTCTTCCAGAAGCTAATAATAATAATAATATGACATCATGGGAGGGTGGATATTTACTAAACAGAAGATTACGCCGTTATTACAGGATTGCATGTCAATATTTTATTACCTAGGCAGCGCCTTTCACTTTATACTCGTATTTTTATTTATATTTTTAGTATGAAAATATAGACAGCCCTCGTCGTCAGTTAAACTAGAACATGTACCAACATGTAAAGCTTTAACCTACTTGTTCAAAATTGGCTTACATTATAAAATCAACATTAGATATTATTGTAACTGAATTACCGAGACAAAAATATCGCACTATATTAAAGCGTTTAACCTAACATTATTATATATTATGCTTAAATTATTCATTTGTATATAGATTCCCTATTTATCGATTAATAGATTTACACTAACTGGTATAAAAACAGTCTAATTTATAGGAATATCTAGTTTTGTAATAATATTTAAAAACATGTTAAGATGTATTTTCCTCCAAAAATTGGCACCCTTAGATCTTGAAACAACTCTGGTTATGACTGACACAATTTTATTTATTTATGAACTTATATAATATTTAACTTATTATTTTATTTGGTATAGGTATTTACATATCTTATAATTAAAAAAAAAAACCGTATGTTTAATTAATAATTAGTAATTACTTATTTTGTATAAAACTACCGTAACTGGGTTGAGACTTGAGAATTTAAATAGTTAATAGAAATTATTATTTATTACATTATCTATTTTTACACGATTTGATTACTTGATATTCATGGTATTATTATAATATATAGGACAAATACCGTTTTTTCATTTAGGAACGTCATATCAATTATTTGAATCTCTAAAGTGTATGAAATCGTAGTAAAACGTCATATTATGTATTATTATGATTGTTGGAATTTGTTATGTGTGTATAGTGTTTTTATTGGTGGAAAATATATATTATGTATTTATATACATAAAGTGACGGAGGGAAGAGCCTTTTCCACTCTGTCACCCCCGAAGGCTGTCCCCACCACCAACTCCGCCTAGTTACATGGAAATCGGGAGCTGTTCGTGCCGTATATAGTATATAGTGTTTTATTAGCGCGTGTAGAAGCACGCGAATTTTGATCACGCTGAAGTTTAGAGCTGTACTTGCCGAGCTCAGTGAAGCACAAGAACTTACCAAGCTTTGACACATATTCACGCTCATTTCGTAGAATTATTATTAAAGGTATGTTATACTTTTATATTATGTATCACAAATATAATATTAAGTGTGTATAGTATTTACAAATTGTATACATCCAAATGCGTTTTGTATATTACTTATTATATTCTGTAAAAACAATAATAATCCTCTAAGGACTGCAACGGTTAGAACATATATATACATTTATGTTATACACATATTTACATTTTTTGATTTTTCGGTTTTTCGATATTTATCAAGGAACCATAAAAAATTACGACTAAGGATTTTGCTCACTTGATTACAAAATGTATTATACATTTCTATTAATACGTACGAAACTACACAAATAATATTAATATTTTTAATTTTATTAATTTAATCGATGTATAGTAGAACTATGTTAAGGCGCAGTGTCGTAATATATTAATAAACCTGTAGTAGAAAACGAGCAGATATTTGTACCATATTATACTAACTTTTTAAAGCAGTATGTATCAATAGACATAGTATACACTATTGATTCGTATATCCATCAGTCGTCCTAAATAATATACTCAATATACATAATATTATTATTATAATATAAAATAATATTTGCTGTCAAAATTGAATAGAAAAAAATTTTTTTGTTTGATACGTCTGCTTTCTATGCAGTCGTTATCGGTTATGGAAAAGCTCATCATATAAATTATAAAATAAACATCATATAACAGTTATAGGTCGTATATACAGCCATACAGGTATGTATAGTTCATTTTTGGGGTCTCCATAAATACACGTGGACGTTTAGTTTATACATGTATTGCTCCGGAAATCGATGGATGACGTGCAGCGTGGCTTTGGGTGGAATATAGTAGTTTCCTGTTGTCTACCCCTCTTCCCACACAGTCTTTGAAACATACCGAATAATCGATTCTGCCCCATTTTGTTCGTGCATTATATGAATATATATGAATATATATATTTATGTTTTTGTGTGTTTAGGCACGATGTCAGTCAGTATATTATTACAATATGTATATATAGTATGTACAAGTATATTAGTATATATATATATATATATATATATGTTAAGTGTTTGACGCGCGCGATTCAATATAGTTACGATTCGCCAGTGGTGTGTATCGTGTATAAAGCGATGTACCTAAATGTTGTGATTGTCATTTTTAGGTGATCGCAAGAAACGGACGCATATAATACATATTTGAAAATGTATTATAACATATTATAATATAGCTTATAAAATATTATTGTTTTAAACGACAAAAACGTGATTAAATTATAATAATATACTTTCTTAAATAAATGCAAATATACATATATATTGCACGTAAATAATATAATTTTAACTAATACACACATGGCATCGCATAACTGCGATATACATTGTGAACACTAACCAAATTTACTAATAATAAAAAAATAACATGGACAGCCATCGTCGGAGTAGCATTATAGAACCCACGGGTGGTGGTTACGTACCGGATACAAGAAGTCAATTGAACACGGTAAGAGACGAATATTTTCACAATAATGCACTGCTAGAGGTATAAAACAGGTACCTATATGTCCTATATACAATATGTATTCAGAAATATTATTGTAAACTGTATAATATGTGGAGCCAGGGATAGTCGCAACAAATATAATATTACGTGTATACTGTATAAAAATTATAGGAAGTAGATTTATCAACTTATATGAAAAAGTTTCGAAATTGTACAGTTATTCTTCGTCTGTGAATGAGCTAGCCGTTTTTTTTTCACAACGTTTTAATGACTTCAGTCATATTAAAATTATATATTTTATAATACACTGTTATAGTAAATTATGTATATAAACAGTCAGCAGATTGACAAAGAACCCAAAGACTGTTATTAGAAAGTATCCATATTAATGAGTTAATTACGATAAATTACAATAATATGCTTGTTGGACTTAAATTTCGTATCATATCCCATAGTCGATATTTAGGGTGAAATTTTATCAATTTAACAGTTGTCTGAGACTTATTTTAGGTAGTTTACGGATCCAATAAAGCTGCACTTCGCACACAAAAATAATAATATTTATGAAGAATTAATCGTTCATGAATAGAATAACATAATTACAATACAATAGTTGCATAAAAAAAAAAAAAAAAACACAATATAGAATAGAGTCAATATTTACTCTTTACTAAGGCAGAATTTTTCTTTTTTTAAGAAGAAGAGTAGTATAATCTATAATTGTTTATGTATATATTACGGTAGACTCGGTAGAGGACAAATTAAAGTTAAAGTAATACAGTAATTTTTGTAAAATTAATTTTGCTATATGAAGATAACTATTTGGAAGAGTTCGCACAGTTATGTAATATATATATATATATATATATATATATATATATAGGTTTGTATTTTTTTCATTGTCAGACGACTGTACAAGCCAAGCCATCGCAGCAGAGGGCCCCTGAATTCGGTTCGAGACCGCCGCGGCCCGAATTCTATCAACAAAATCCATACGGCGCGCCCAACAGGCCACAGGGACAGCAGCAACGGCCACCGCCGCCGAGAACGTCAGGCGAAAACAAGGCCAGTCCCTGGAATCTTATTCGGCAAGCTCTGCCACCGGACGTCGGGGTCCGTGGTCCGGTACAGTTGCAGCAACAGCAACAACGTGGGCCTCCGCCGCAGAATTATAACAGCATCAACAACAACATGCAACAGAGACCACCAATGCAACAAGAACAGCAACAGTACAGGCAACAGTTGCCGATGCAGGAACGCCGTGGTCCTACGTCCCGGGTCACTGAAGACAGGCCGATGCCACAATTCCGGTCAGATAATGGTAGACAGGCGAGACCCGTAGGAGGCGGTGCTGATGACGACGAAGAAGTAGTGGTCAACTCTTCCATTAATCAACAGATGCAGCAACAGCAACAACCGACATTAAACCGAAGGGATTCTACGACATTTGCAAGCGGCCGAGCCGGTGACGGACCGGTTGACCCAAACAAGCAGTGGCAGCCGAGAGCGGTGGCGCCGGGAATGGTACCGTACGGTAAACCACAGCAACAGGAACAACAGTACGGTAGACAATCGTTGGTGATACCCGAGGGACAGGAGCAGACACGTTTTCCAGCGCAAGCAACCGGTGCGTACAACAACAGCCGGCCCACGGCCTCGCAAGAAGACGACGTTGGCAGTAGACAACCGGTGCAAATGCAAAATGGCATGCAAAAAATCTTGCAGCCACAACAACAACAGCCACAGAGACAACAACAGCAAAACTTGTTGACAAGACGGGACAGCGTGTTGGACGCGAGTACTGCAAAGGCCGGGACGGACATGATATCGCGGAGGAACGACGGAATGGCCGAGTACGGTAGAAGGCCAACACTGGACTTGCAGGATGAAGGTGGCAACAGGTGGCAGTCGGAGCTTGTTGGTGGTGCCCGAAGACCGCCACCCGTGCAGGACTCTATACAAGATGATAGCAGACGGCCGGCTGCCGAATTCAAGAAAACGGAACAGGAAGACGTGAGCGGCAGACGTTTGACGGACTTCAAAACCATCAGACCAGAAATCGGTGCCGCCACCGAGTATGGCGCGGCCAGCAGACAGGTGAACGCCACGACCCGTCCGGACGACAGACCGCCTATGAGAGATTACGAACAGCCGCGGTACGAGCGCAAAGCGTTGTTGGAAAAAGATCAGCCTGTCCAGAGGCCGGCCGCGGTGGAGCACGGCAACCGTGCGTCGGAGCTTAGAAAGTTGCACTTCGAAGCCACTCATTTGAAACCGGTCAGGGAGCAACCAAATGCGGCCAACAACGACGGCAGGGTGGCTTCGGAGCGAGGTAGGGAGCCACCGACGAATGGGACGGGACCTAGGGATTACGCGGCGATGAAGTCCACCGGCGACGATGACCCGCCAAACGAACGGTACAGGGCGACCGTCACCGCGGCGGCGGACCGCGTTGCTGGCGGAGACGACAAGGTCGTGCCGCAGCCGAGTAAGAACTCCAGGCCCGATACTTTAAAAATAATTAAAGGTACTTTAAAGCTACTTTTCCCAGCAGATCGATCGCACGCACTTTTTATAGTCACCGGTACATTATTGCATAATACATATATTTTATTCGTTAATAATTGTACGAGCCCAAGTCCTATATAAATAACATTTTTTTTACGTTAACGCAATAATTACAAAGACGGACAAAAACCTGACGTAACAACATTGACAATTATTATGGTTAACATTATGAAGTACTAAATGCTAAAACTAATTTTGAATATTTGTCTTACACAAAATATAAATAATTTGTGACCGTTGTAGCAACGGCCAACGATACATCATTTTTCAAGTATGTGATGAGTTATATAGTATAACTCATGAGTTGATGAATTTTATGTGGAGAAGGCTATAGCCTGTAATTTGTTGGGTCTATATACAACATAATATAATCTAAACATATACGGACAGGGGGCTAAACTATATTCTGGTGGCTATTCATTGCCTCTCCCCATTATTATATGCTTATGGATATGCGGTGGTGTCGTTTTATCCTTTAAAATCGGCAATTTAAAAACACCGATGTAAAGCAACACACGTCACACACATGTATACACTTATACACTAAGTATACCTTCACCTTCCCCGCTCGTCGTACAAAAATACACAGATGTATAAAATAAATGGTATGAAAATCATGCGGTGTTCCAGAAAAACCAATATCGGGGTGTTTACTGGAAACACTTGTGATACTACACATTCGACACTACTGCACACGGATACTGAATCGTAGAATCATAAAGTACATAATATTTTGCACTCAATTTTATGATAAAAACTCATCATATTATTTAATTATTACGTATTACTTCATATTTATATATTATTATTTATTATATAACATAATTTATGTAGTTGTCATAATATTCGATAGTCATATGCTTTGATATGTTTTTACAAAAATATGTCATGCTTGCGTATAAGGTAATTGTTCATCAATAAAATTATGTTCCATAAATTATTACTGCTTAAACTCATAATATGATAGAACTATAGAAGTGTAACTATATAAGCGAATTATTAAAACTTATGTATATAATAGGTAATATATATTATATACCTACGTATTACTAAAGGTATATTATATCTAAAAATAATTTCAATATTGCACGCCTATATTATGATAATTATAGGTACTGAAATCCACAATAATGTTTTAAATATGTTTTATGTGTACATTATATGTATGTACGTATATAATAATAAAATATTTGTGTTAATAATACATTTGTTTTTGTCTGATTGTATTTTGCAGACAATGAACCACTCAAAGATTCATCAAACTCGAAAGTAAGTAAATAATTACAGTGTATTTATTGTTCAACTCTTTAATCGCTGTTGTAGGCCGTATATGTATCTATACGGCTACTACCACATATTAGATAATTCATATTTTAAGAGAACATCATCGTTTGTTGGTACACTGCAAAACCATCATTAAAAATTATACCTACGGGTTACAACTACAACAGTAATACGTTTAATACTATTGTCGACATACAGGGCGATCGTCAGAACGACAACGACGTGGGCAAGTCGCCGAGCAAAATCCCGAAAAAAGACCGTTCAGAATTGAAAACTCCCACCCGAGCTGTCACGCCAAAGTCTCCTGTTGAGGGCGTGACCGGACAGAAGAGTGAGTGACGGCGACCACCGGTTGTGATGGAATCGAATGACAAATTCCATCGATTGTTCATAACTAGGGAACGGATTTAAATGCTCWAAAAAACAAGAAAAATGCATTAAAAAATAATACGATTTAATGCCTTAAAAAAATGCTTTAACATCAAAAAATGCACTAAAAAAAATGCCCTAAAAAACTTTAAAAATGGGTTTATATTCAATAAAAACAAAATTTTGTATTTAAAACTTATAAAAAAACACATTATTATGAAAAATCTAATAAAAAATATTTAAATACAATACAAGCTTAATTAATTAACTTTAGATAAATAGTTTATCGTATCTTATCTCTTATCTTTACCTTAATGTGGGTAATGATCTGTTGTAACTTGTATGTATTTATTTTGTGTCTACACGTGTCAACAATAATTTCGTAATTTCGTAACATAATACACGTGTCAACAATAATTTCGTAATTTCGTAACATAATACATATTTAGGTATTTTAATTTTTTTTTAGAATGAACGTGGAAAAAATGTTGAAAAAATGACTTAAAAACCACAAAATGCACTAAAAATTTCAAAAAATGCATTAAAGTCTTAAAAATGCAAAATAAAAGTTACATTTTTTAATTCTTTGATGTATGAAATAAACGTTTTGCTTGGAAACCAATGTTTTCGGACATTCAGAAAAAAATGCAATTTGCATTCAAATCCGTTCCCTATTCAGAACTGTATAATGTGATATAATTATATTAATTTATTCATGCCATTTTGGTCGTATATAGAGTTGCCGATGAACAAAGTGCAAGTGGGATCTGCGCCATCACCGAATCTCAAGGTAGTCCGGTCAAAAGTCGGATCACTGCAGAACACCAGTCACAAACCGGGCGGTGGGCAAGTGAAAATCGAAAACAGAAAACTCGAATGGAAAGCCGGTACGAGGGTTGAGGCCAAAAACGATGCATACGTTCCCGGTGGCGGCGACAAAAAGGTACCTAAAAATAATTTGTATAGGTATTACCTATTATGGTATGAGGCCCGAAAAACGGCTGCACTCTATACCTACTACATATTTTTTAAGCTCGAAATTGCCTGTATGTGCTAATTATAGTAATTATGAATGATGTATTGCTTTGCACGCTGTGACCTGTGAATATCATTTAAATTTCAATAAATACATTTTTTTTTTATATATATATATATAGATTATAGCATTGAGTTTTATATAATATAATAGATATCTATGCTCAATGATAATAGGTATACACTACTATGCACAATAAAATATCATAGGGTACTATTAATAGGTATCACGCGACTACTTTTAGTAGTGCTAGTGCAGGCTATGAGTTAAAAAAGTATTTTGGAAAATTAAATCGAAATCAAAAATGTGGCTGTAGTGTTGAGTTTTTTGTTAAATSACGAGGAAATCGTGAAAACGGAAACGTTAATTAAGCACGCTAGTTTAACTTGCAGTATATCATATTATATAATATGATATCTTATTTCATCCCATCCCATTATTGTCATGTTATTATTTTCAATATTATTTATTTAATTTGAACTGTATTGCGATCAATTAACCTTTAACCAATGATGTTTATTTTTTTAGATTCAAAGTGTTAAGCTACAGTGGAACGCCAAACCTAAAGTAGGTTCACTGGACAACAAAACCCACAAACCTGGAGGTGGTGACAAAAAAATCGAAACCGTTAAGCTCGACTTCAAAGACAAGGCAAAACCAAAAATCGGGTCCAAAGACAACATTAAACACACTCCAGGCGGAGGAGCCGTCAAGGTAATGTTATAATAACAGTCGTGATATACAAATTAAAAATAACTTATTTTTTGAATTAGATTTTTGGTCTCTGAAATGATTGATTACATATATATTTGTAATTTGTAATTGTCATATTATATATGTGTCGTACTACTTGTATCGTCATCTCAATTATAAGTTATGATATAGTAGAAAATTTATTCGCTCTAATATACCACGATCCTTAAGATATAATATTGTTTTCTATTTTACTTTTTGCATTAAAAATGTCTTGCTTTTAGATATTTTTTGTGATCTCTCGAAAAAAAATCTTGTAAGCATACCTTAATGTATTTGTATTATAGGTAGGTAATTATACAAATATTTTAGTAATCAAGAATTAGATATTTGATATATTTTAAGTTCTCGACTATTTATGATGGTGTCCCGCAAGAATTTACCCATTGCGATATCGCACGAAATAATGGAGATATAAAAATTCTGATTTTGTAATAAGACTCACAGGGATAAGAACTACAATTATTTCATTTTTAAATTTATTTTTAAAAAGTAAATAAAAAAAAAAAATAATGTTTTGGTAAAAAATTTAAAAATTTATTTTTTTAATTTAATTATGTCCTAAAAAAATGAAAGATAGCCATTTTGTAATTTATTTTTACTAAAAATATTGACGTTACAAAATTTTGTTTTCATTAAATTCCTGATTTTTAATTTTTTTTTTCTAGTTTTAAAGAAATAAAATATGATAATAACTAGGCACACTGAAATTGTTCGGCCGGCCGTGCAGGCACGGCGCGGCGGGTGACACTACGCGGTGTTAAATAATTCACAATTTTTTCGAAACTAAAAAAAATTTTAAGTCAGGAAATTAATGAAAATAACATTTTTAAACGTCAATATTTTCAGAAAAATAAACTCTACAAAATGGCTACAGACTGTAACCTACAATCAATTTTTTTTTGGAAACAATTAAATAAAAATATATATTTTTTTAACTTTTTATCAAAAAATTAAAATATGAAATTATTGTAGTTCTTGTACCTGTGAATCTTATTATAAAACCAGAATTTTAATATCTCCATTATTTCGAGAGATATCGCAATGGGTAAATCCTCTTGCGACACACGACATTGTATATAGGTAGTAGCATCAAAAAACAAATTTTTAATTTAATAATTTAATACCTATATTTAATTATTTCAATCTGTTCATATTAAATTATTTTTGAAATTAAAGACAATTATCGAACTGTATTCGATTCGTATTTAATATTAAAAACGTAACCTTTCGATAAAATAAATTAACAATTATTTTGTGTGCCTAGTAAAATTCCATGAAAAAAATGAATAAACCTATATTTCGATATACCTATCTTATTAAAATTAAGGTGTGAAACATTATAATACATTCGCACAACCGACGAAATTTAAATATTTTATGACTTATTGATTTTTAAATATCGGTTTGTGCTATATTAATCAATAAGTAACTCGCACATACCATTTTAAAAAATAATTCCATACAAATAAAATATGTACACCTATCTATTTAAAACCACATCATTTGTGGAAAATATTGTTCATTTGACGTATATTGTATATTGTATATTGTATATTATATACAAATGTCAGTTATTATATTTGAATTTTGAGTTGTTAATTCATAATTTATTGCTTAACCATAAGTAATAAATATTTAATACGTATACCTGTCACTTCATAAGTGGCGTTAGAAATAGAACTGGAAGCGCAAAGTACACTCAAATAATAATAAAACCCCCAAGGTCACATTTGACGAATATCATTATTTTATAGCTTAATAATTTAAGTTATAATATCTGAACGATTTATTATTATTTTAAAACTACTTCCTATTTATAAGTCGGATTCTATTTTGGTGGATTTTATCTTTGGCCTGACGCCCTGACCCGTTTCATTTCAATGATGAGTAAACATTTACCTATTTATTTTTATTAAACATATTATAAGTAAAAGTTTAAAAAGAATGTTTTATTTTTTTCTGTAAGAAAATTATTATGTTTGTTCATGAAATAGTTCAGTGCATAATATTTTCTATAAAAATGATAGGTCATTTAAAAAAATAAAATGGTGGACCTTTCCTTATAAATTTGATTAAATCCCCTCCTGTGATCTGCAGAAATACCTAACTATGGTTGGTATTATAATTTATAATGTATTAGATATATACGTTAATACTAATTTATAACTTAAAATTAATATTTTATGGATTATTTACCTATTTTATTTTCAGATTCATAGTCTATTAAATGTACCTACCTAGTATTTATAATCAAATAGCATTGTTTTCAAGTAAATAAAATAATAAATTATAGTACTATAAAACCTTATGTAATATTGGTAAAATAATACTAGGAGATGCCTATCCCGATAAAGTAGTAATAATATTACAAAGAGTCTAAAATATTGTATTGGAATTATGTGTTTTTTATAATTTTTCTAAAGGTTTATTAAAATGCTATGTTTTCGCTTTTGTTTAAAACTGTATTTCGAACAGATTCTAATAACTGTCATATAATGATGACCTCGTCTTATTATTATTGTTCACCAAGAAGGTTGTGTAATTTTTTTTTTATGGAAAACGATATTTTAATTTTCTAGAGCCAATCCATAGAATTATTAGAAAAGGAATCGCACGACGTGAGTAAATAAATTAGGTCGCAAAACGCGTATGTACCTATATTTATGTATGTACAATGTGTATAGTTATATATACATATAGCAGGAGGTACCTACTCGTAATATATAACTATCATATATATTCACCAAATCACAGCGCTTAAAGCATATTATATACATAATATATATTTAGGGCGGTAAAATATACCTATAGAATATGCAAAACTGTTTGTACAAACGAGTGTGCGTGTTCATGTCTTACACTGCAATACTTATTTATAATATTTTATTATACACTGATTGTTCTGTGTTCATTTTTTGGTCTCTGCAAATATTTATACATACGTATATCAAATACCTATATGGCTATATCGTTTTGAGTGTTTTTAAGTTTTCGGACGTATACAGCAATCCGTTTCAGATTAAGTTACGCAGGGCAAAAGAAGAAATTCGCGTTACAGAAGACAAAAATGTTACCTACGATTTGTATTACTTATAATCAATATCCATCAATCAGTCCACCTTAAAGTTTTATAATTTCATTATGTGTGAATGTTGCAAACGTCGTAAATGGCGGTATCTTCCTAGTCGAAATATTAAATAATATATAATGTAGGTACCCTATTTATGCTTATTTTTATAATTTACATGAAAATTGTAAGCTAGCTGGTGGAGTGCAAGTGCAATACAATTTACATGCCGTGCTTATATGATACCTAAGAATGAAAGAGTCTAGAATTGATGAGAAAATTCATCGAAGGTCCGAACCGGCTCTAATATTATAGTATGGACATCATCCGCAAATTACCATTTAGACTTAAGAGAAATTCAACTATAATTTATACCTTTGAGAAAAAAAAATGGAATGAGTAAGCCTGGTGAATTACTCTGTATACGGTGGTTGTATATCAATAAACCTTCATCAGTAGATAGTTCGTCATCATAAACATACACACATAAAATAAAACTAAAAGTAATATTCGCGATAACGGATTGCTGCGCTATAGAAATGTACCAACGCTGTTCTCGTTTTACGTGCACATAAATCGCACATAAAATACATATTTATTATTATTATTATAACGTACTTATCATGTTATTAAACGCGTATTTTATGAATATATAGATAGAGGATCAAAAATTGGACATAAAAGCCCAGAGCAAGGTAGGATCGTTGGACAACATGAAACACAGACCTGGTGGTGGAGAGGTGAAAATATTCGATGACAAGAGTTACATAAAACAGACGAACGCGGGACAAATCGGAACGCCAACAAAAACACAGGTAAAATATTAATATATTATTATCTTTTATTAATAGGCAATAGGCATTATTATTTTATTAACGTTTGTATATTTAGGCAATTTTTAAGTTTATAGTAGAGGCACTTATAGGTAATATGGCCATTGTTCTAACGTAGACTCGGCATGTACCTGAGCTAACATTATTTGGCGTCAATAGTTAATGTTTTTAAAATAAATTTTGTATTTTTTTTTTTTAAATTCAAAGACGACCTTTTTATAAAATAAAAATAATTTTTCTTGCTGATCATTCACAATAACTATAGAAATCTAGATGAACGGATTTAGTCATAGGCGCAMATAGGGTGTGAATTTAGGGGGTGCTGAAATAATTTATAGTACACADAYCCRTRGRGAGYGAAGCCCCCCACTACACCACCCTAATACTATAATAATTGCATTGCAATAATTATAAATTTTATTAAAAATAAAAATAAATATTTTGTAATTATATTAAAAGT